TTATTTATTTATTTATTTATTTATTTATTTATTTATTTATTTATTTATTTATTTATTTATTTATTTATTTATTTATTTATTTATACAGCCACCTATCTCACCATTGCAACTTTAAATCACACACACAGGGTTAAAAGCAACCAAGGTTGACACTGTAACAGTAAGATGTGAAATATTACAAGTAGAAAAATTCAGGTAGAGTTACCACCCTTACATGAGGACTTCTGATATTTCAAGGTATGTGAATAACTATAATAGTAAGTCTTCACTACAAATGAAGGTTTACAGTTTACCTATCTCTTAAACTAAAGGATATCTTCATCACTTAAAATCAAAAAGGCCATAAACCATAACTATGACAAATCAGGACCTAAAAAAGGCCCGCTTACATTTGCTTTCAATGATGCTGTGTTCCCCTATTATGATAGCAGCTGAAGCAGCAAATATGGTAAAGATACTAAGAAATAAGCTAAGACAACATGTGCTCATCTGAAGCAGGAGTTTACTGAAGGTGGATGGGGGTTTCTCTACTGTGATAAAGATACATAGTCCTGTCATAAGCAGTGAAGCTTCAGCACTCTACCAGGAAAACAGAAGAGTACTGCATGAACAAAACAGCTAGTTGTGTTAACTGTGGTTAGCAACACACAATGATAAACATTCCAATGCTGCATTTGCATATGTCAATTACAGTAAAGGTAGCCAGAATGATAGCATTTTCCCTGAGATAAATCACTGCTCATGTTAGGGAAGTCATATGGTAGCGCAGGTTGCGCAATACTGCCTGTATGTACCAATTATGCATAGCAATGTATAGTAATGATCATCCAGAAAGATATCAAAGAGGCATGTGACCCAGGACCTTCTTACCTGGATTAAAGCCCCACCATCTTCACTCAATTTATCATCATGCTTGAACTCCACAGTCACAGCTTTGTCACAATCTATTGCTGCCAGTTCAACATCTGTGGTATTGTTCATGTAAATAGCTCCAAGGAAGTCTGTTGCTCTAAAACCTAAGTCAGGATTAGAAAAGAGTAAGTTGTACAGTTAATAAAAACAAGCAGCATCATTTTTGTAATAGGTAAGACAGCTGATAGCTTCAAAGGACATATTCTCCTATTCACCCACCCAGTGCTAATCTTAGTAACAGTCTCTATCCTCTTTAATGAAGTTGATTTGTTAAAAAATAAATACTACAGTCACCTTTCTCATCAGAAACATTAACCTGAAACCAGCAAAAAGTCTGAAGCAGCAATCTGGAACCTTACTTTCAAAAAGAAAAATGTGCTTGAAATTAAGACTGATGATCATGACATTTTTTTCAAATTATTCACTATAATTATGCCAACAATGTTGGATTTATTCTGTACTATGTAATTGAATGTTTCAGGAAGAAACCTGGGTGGTTTATCATCTAAAAACCAAGCCAAATCCAGCATGCATTTGGAAAGATTTGACAGATTTTACATTGAGGTTTACTAATTCCCAATACTTCGCATTTTGTTCCAGGAAAAAAGAAAAGACATATTAAGGCTATCTCTTAAACCATGTAAAACAAGCAAATAAAAACCTTTTATAGTAATCATTATTACCTGTGCTAGTTCGAACTCTCATAATAGCATCAAAACCCACTTTTTTTTCTATATCCTTTCTCAGGTCATTGAGAAATTGATGGCTGTCAGACTGTATCTGAACAAAAAAAAAGGAGATTGGGAAAAACTTGACTAAATAATGACTACCACTGGATGGCAGCAGCGCAACATATTGTAAATTGTTTCAGGCTATACTGTAAATTGTTAGGAATTAATAGTACTAAATCACTCCTATATAAGAATTTATTTAGTTAATACTTGCAGGCCTTTCACATTCTCACATGGTCATGCAGATTAAGAGAAAAATCAAACTGCTTGTTATACATAGAAAAAAAATACAATATTAGTAAAGAAAATCTATACTTTTAAAATAGATTGATGAAAATAACAGATATTTGGAAAATATTTTTATCATTTTAAAAACAAGCCAACATTAGAGTAAGCATATACTTTATTTAGAAATTTGTTACATATTATATTCCCAGTTTAATAAAATAATTGTTATTTTTTCATAATCTTACAAGATTATGTTGTACATTGTCATCATAAGCCTAAGGAATGTATAGGAATGCAAGAACAGTGTGATTTATAATTATTTAATGTCAGGAAAAGGACAGAAATGCCACTAAACATAAATGGTTCCCGTAGGAGTCTAGCACTAATAAACAGAGAGGGGACATAATCCATATATTTCTTTATCCTATTTGGAATGGAGAAGAAAATCAGATTAAAAATGTAGTTCCAGTTGTATAGAAGGTTGCAAGACCAAAAATTTATTCACTACTTATAGAAATATGTATTGCATTCTTCTTTATTTGTTCCTATAATTGCTCAAGATTTCCCATATTTTTCCACACAACATTGGGAAACAGTTTGGACAGTGACTGTCCTGTCAAATTTTCAACTCTAATTCTCTTCTGCAGATGAACCTGGACCTTTATCTCTTTGGTCCTTGTTCAACACCTTAATTACTGCATCATATTTTCAGAGGTCTTATCATAAGATTTTCCAATGTTTGCCTTTTCAAATTAATGTCCCGATGCTGATTCATGATCTGCAATCATCACAATTATGACAAATTGTGGCTTGAACTATCTTACTTTGCATGTAATGAGTCTGTCTCATATATTAGTTTCACCTTTTAAGTTGAATTACTGACATAAATGAACTTTTGCACGATATTCTAATGTATTGAAATCTTGAAAACCTGGCAAAATCTAATGAGATTGCAAGAAAGAATCATTTTTTTGCCACTTGCATGTTTTACTTTATTTTTGCAGCTGTTACATAAACCAGATGGTCAAGGCTGACTCCTAACGCAACTCTACTTGCAAACTGACAAGAAAATCGAAGGGAGGAAAATCGAAGGGAGGAATGTATTGGCAGTTGGGAGGGAGGTGAGGAATATATGTGACCTGTTGGCAGCCTGAGAAGCTTCTGATACTTCAAGGCCATGCAATGGGAACCTACTGAAGGTGCAGACTGTTCCCCCCCCCCAAAAAAATGTGTTGGATTGGTGGGCAATGGACAATGGGTGGCCCAAATGGGGAAAGGGTGCAATTAATTATGCTGTTTTTCACACGAAAATCTCAAGAGCTAGCTTCGCTTTTTCTACATCTGTATGAATCTATCAGTAAAGTTATACTCTTGGTAAAATAATATTCCAGGAGTTTCTTTTGTTGCATATGCCAATGGGATGACTGGCTCCATCTACAATATCATCTGAGTAATCTACATACGTCAGGTTGCAAACTACTGAAAGAAAAAAAGAAGTTTTTGTCAGTTACCTGAAAATTATTGTACTTGTACAATGTTCCTCCAGTATGAAAAGTCACAAAGCCCATAGAAGCGATATCTGCATACTGGTTTGGGAAAAGAAACAGATTTACACAGCAACCGCTGGCAACACAGTCTTTGGCCAAGGCCTCATAAATATTTGTCTGGGCCTGAAACAGCGTCTGGAGAAGAATATAAAATAATTAAGCATGTTAAGTAAGCAGCAAACAAAAGAACAAGATGTTGCAAAAAATAAGGAGGCAAACAAAAATATACATGAAATTAAAATATAATTTTAAGAGCTAAACAATTTTAACAAGCATTAACCAAAAAGGCAGTTGCAGGTTTTCTTGACAAGAATATACTATCTATTTCAGATACGAATCAAATATATAAATATATAAATGTATTAAGAAAAAAATTATGTACTTTGAACACAAATATGTTCATTAACGGGAATAAGTAGTCTTTGCTTACCAAAGGTTACTAATTCATATCACAGTTGTTAAGTTTTATATTCATTACTACTATCTAACTACTACAATGCAACATTTATCCAGAGTTGTTTTCACAGTTTGTTATCATTGCTAACTGGATGAATTCCATACCTTGCAAGCTTCCCTTGGAGTTTGTGTCATTGCTATTGAGTTAGAATTCAATAATGAAGGCATCTTGATTGCAACCATCTCTGCTATACTGAGAATTAAACTGACTATATTATGCTAAATTCTATTTGTATGATTTCTGTAAACTTGATAAAAATGAAATGCAGAAACATGTTTACTCTTTTATACAGCAATTTGTAGAATAATTCCTTTTTTAATGAATACCTTCTCTTTCTCTGTATTGACCAATTTCCTATCATCTCTGTTCTTCAGTTTCCCTGGTGCCTCTGCAGTTGGCAATGAAGAGTGGAAGATAAACAGTTTTCCAGCGCACTCTGCTGCCTGTAACAAAAATAGAAAAAAAGCAAAAAAACAAAAATGACCTTTATTCTCCTGCAGATATAAACTTCTGAGATAGAGCCTTATACAGTTTTGTTATTCCAGTATAAACTCTCAGCGACTTTATAAACTAAATAGTCCATTTGTTTATAGTTTGAACTTTATTTGATACCCTAAAACTTCACCTCTACTACCACAAGAAAGAAAGAAAGAAAGAAAGAAAGAAAGAAAGAAAGAAAGAAAGAAAGAAAGAAANAACCAATGGTTTCTTGTGCCAAGTTGATCACTCTCTGAAGTGCCCTCCTGTCCGCAACTGTTAGACCAGTGTAACATACTGTTATACAGTGTGTGGACACTTTCTATTATGGACTGATAGAAAGAAGTCATCAACCGTTGTTCCACCTGATTTTTCTGCAGGACTCTAAGGAAATGAAGTCTCTGTTGAGCCTTACTAACCACCAGGGATGTGTTGTTTTCCCAGGTGAGGTCTTGACTAATGAGCACTCCCAAGAATTTAAGAGGCAACCCTCTCCACACGCCCCCCCCCCTTCCCTTTGCTGGAATATTCAAAGGTTGAATACTAGCTATATGTCTAGAATGTTTCAGCAGCTCTTAATAAGCAGGTGATAGAACTAGGCAATCTTTGAGATCCCTTCCAACCCTTGTTACTCTATAAAACTTTTTTAAAAATGGAATGACGCACATCCAATTCACATTACTTTCAGGACTGTAATTTGTGTGCTTCATTCTGAAAACCTGCCTACACATTAATCAATCCTGGCATATTGCATCTTTGCAATTCGGACTGGTTTCAGGGAGAAGGTAGTAGAAGTATTGTTTTGGGAAATCAATAGCATTGTGAAATAACTTAGGTATATAAACCTACCCACTTTTTCTGTGCCTGTTTCTACACATCTGCAGTCTCATCTTTATAAAGGGGCAGTGATTCAAGGCTGCATTGTTCATATCATGTCATCCGGCACTTGCATCATAGTTCAGAAATGAAGTACATATTTAAAAAATAAGCATTCAACTCTCTTTCTCAAATACACAAGACTATACTCACAGCCTCAGTGTTGACATGCGCAAAGGAAGGCACATTAAATATCCCTTGGATAAGATCTGGTGGGGCACTGACTCCAAGCCATAGAAACATATGTAGAGAATTTGCCAATAGGAATACTCCTCCTTCACAGAGACGTTCTTCTGAGCAGCGAACAGCATGAGGAATTGTGTCTTTACTTACATCCATGGAATGCTGAGAGATAAAATTTAAGTTCTTAGATTCATTGCATTAAAAAAAATCTGAATAACTATGAGAATAAATTTGATGTAGCGATTTAAAGCATGAGGGTCAAAAGTGGAAAACCATGGGTTCCAATCCTGCCTTGTACACAGAGCTGGCTGGATGCCTTTAGGCCACTTACTATCTCTCAGCCCTAAGAAGCAGGCAATGGCATACCAATTACATTGTATGGACTTGTCCAGATAGTTGCCAGCAACCTGAAGCCACATGTACACATAAAAACCACTGTGATTAGTTTTGGAATAGGCCATCTTGTACTAGTATGTAGGAAAGATATTAAGACACAAAGCAATGAGATACAACCAAAGGAGGATTGAGGGTTGAACAGGTCAGCAGTAGCCCACAGACTACACTCAGATAAACAGATTAAGATCAACATAAGATATGGGAAAATTATGGGAAAATAAAGGTATCTTTATTAACTCTTTATAGATACCGTTCTAAATTTATATTTAACCTTTTCTGAATATGTGTTTGTGTGCGCACGCTCATGTGCAATATTCATAAGATTAATAAATTTTGCAAAATAATTTATTTTTGGATGAAAATCTAACTGCCATTATCACTTTCAGGTTTATGCAAGGGTACAAATTGCCAAAGCTACTCAATAGTACTGAACAATATTACACAACTTACTATTGTCTGTCTGTTTTTGTCACTGGCAGGCAGTGGGAGTGTCATCAACTACTTGCCTATTGGCAATAGCTACTAGTTAATCTAGTGTGGTTGGGCAACATGAACTGTGCTTCATCAGTGCCATGACACTATCATACTTATCTTGGCTTTTTACAATCCCTTGGGCTGAAGAAATTATAATGCTAGAACCACTAATTCAGACCAGATGGACTAATTAGCATCCACAAGACTATGCTAGAGGTAGCCTTGTGCCCTAGCCTACCATATTCTCCATGTCACAGCAACTGCCCTGACACATTATCCAATATCTGCTAATAGCAAAACACTTACAATTGGCAGAAGCTGTGGGTAGAATAAAAGTTGGGTGCTAGCAACATCCATCGACATGACCAGCTGTCTATGAAAAGTTCTTTCATCCGTGGGAATCTCTGACTTGCCCAACAGCACACAGCTTTTCAGAAGGCTATTTATGTAGACAGGAAGTACCTTCATTGAATCAGGAAGAATAAGCTGAAAAAGAAGAAAAGGTATCAGCTAAAATATCTTGTCATTCATGTACTCCAAGTTTTCTCCAGCAGAATTTGCATCTTATTAGTTCCACAATCAACTGCTTTTGTCTGACAGATTTCTATAAACAAATGGAAGTTTAATTTAAATGGCTTTCCTTTCTTCAAATGTCACAACTCAATTTATATTTCAATATAAATTGATTCCATAAATCAGTGTTATGAGAAAAAGTATATTCAATAATTAAAATAAAACAAATATGAAAACCTCTGAGAATATATTCAATTTCTGATTTTGTTCTCTCTGCCTAAACATTCTCATTTTATATCTATAATATAAAGGTGAAATCTGCTTTTGGTATCATATACATACATTACACATCAGGAATCACATGACTTAAGTCTTAATCTAGCCTGCCCAATCATAACTGCTCTTATGGTCGGATCTTGGTAATTACAAAATTTATCAAGTGATTTGAGTCTGAACAAAGTCTTTATAATTTTCAAAAGTTGTACTTTAAAAAAAAATACAGAAGTATAAGCTCAAAATTGCAGTTCAGTTATAGGACAATAAAATATTTTTATTTCATGAAAGAACATTCTGTTAACCATATACCATACAAAGCAAAAATTGTTCTGAGATTTATATACTAAATTACATGTAGTTAAAAACTGTATTGCATTATTTATAGCACAATGACATTTAGAGATTTTCTTATCCTGCACATACAGAGATGCCAAGACTGTTGAAGGCCAAGATTTTAAGTAAGCAGTTGCTACAAAATCTAATGAAAATGCAGCACAATTGTGTAGCACATACAGGAATGATAAATACAACATTTAGATCTTTCCTCATAGTCAGCGTGGGCAAATTCTGACCATAAAAGGTGCTAGCTAAAGCTGGAATATAAAGCTTTAACGAGAATTCTTTGCAGTGATTCTTCACTGAATAATTAGGTTTTAGGCAAGTGCTATTTTTGTATTGTGGTTTATATTGCATAATTTACAGTCCTGGCCACAAAAATAATTGAGTGAAAATGTAAGCACAAAAGGATGTTTATTTCAGATTGCAATTTATGTCTTTGTAAGCTTATTAAAAATCAGCATAAGAAAACATGTTAACTGTAAATCAGTTAACATTTGGAGTAAACAAAGCACAAAATCTCACAATCTTGACAGATTCTAAACATTTTGTTCTTTGTATAGAAAAAAAAGAATGAAAACCCCACAACTAAGAGATCTGCTAATACTTGCAGCACTACTGCCGGTTCACTCATGGGTGCGCTGTGCGCAGATATGCAGTACAATAAAAATTGTTTGGAAAAACCATTTTGGGGGCGGGTCAGGCCTGGGTCGCCGCCAGTTCCAGTGACCCAGACCACCAAACGACTACCAGTTCAGCCAAACCGGTAGGAACCCACCACTGAATACTTGGTCTTGCTAGAGTTAAAGCTGAGCCCATTTTCCCCCCATCCAGACCTCAACAGCCTCTTTATTTGCTGAGATAAGACTTGACAGCATCATTCTGAAAATGTAGCACCAGATTCTTGAAATAGAGTTTATATTCTATAATTGGCTTCTGCAGCATATTGGCTTGCAGTCTCTAAACTAATTTAACTATAGGGAGTGTGGTAGAAGGCTCATTAATGTTCACAAGCACCTAGTCTACATAAGGGAAAAAATAAAAAATGCATATTAAACCCTATGGAGATGCAATATTTCTGAACTTGATATCACATATTTTTGCTTACGTGTTAAAATAATACCCAAATAATGCTCAAACCAAACTTATATAGCTGGAAATACTAAATACCTGGCTCACTGCAGATGGACTAGCACAGTTCTTTCTGTAACATGCCAACATGCGAGCTGTTTGATTCACCAGGATCTCACGAACAGTCTTTAAGGGCTGGCTGAGAATGGCTTTATAAGCTATCATTATATAAAGAAGTGATAAAATATGTTATGTTAACCACTATTATCTTTTCACAGAAAAAAACCAGACTTCAGATATTTTAAAAAGTTTCATCTAATCTACTCTTTCTAAACAGAGTATAAAACTTATATATTATGTATATTAGGTTTAAATTATAAACTGTGTGAAAATTGTTCACCTTGCACTCATGGTCAGCCACAACAAAAAATGGCCTATACTCTTGTTCCAATGCTATCATAGTGACTTAACAAT